AAAAAAATCAATAACTGATGGAGGAGGAGATTAATAGGAGATATCGCGATATTTTCTTCAACTCCTGCTAATGATCATGTTGACACCCGTCCTTCCACCACATTTTCCCACTGTTTTCTGTCACAGAGTCACAGAAACAACATGGCGCGTCATGAAGACGTATCCTCCCTGAACCGGCTCTGACAGTCAGATGGACCTGTTTTAAGGTGCTCTAATTTAAGTCGGTATTCCTGACTTGAAAACATCATTATTTAGTGGCAATCGGGTCATCTCAGTGAATTACGGCGTGAGGGAGAAACTCCGGGAGCACATTGGTGCCTGGGCTGCAACAGCATGATTAATGTCTCCTCATTTAAATAGTACAGATGGCTGCAGCCACGGCGGCTGAATTATTGTTCGAAGTGATAATTGCATTCTTTGCATTCCTCAGTGAGTTTGTTAGGGAAAATGAAGAATCTTGGATATTCGAAGCACCAGCCCCGCTGACTGATATGTTACTTATGCTAAGTGCCAGCCAACGCAATCAATTACGTGCAGTGCCGTCGCCGTCCTGGTCCTCCAATACACGTGGTACTTTTCAAGTACTACACACAACTGGACAGAACACAGCGTACTCATCTTTGAGACGTCTGTCTCTCTCTCTATATATATAGAATATAAATATTTTTATTATATGTACATGTATATGATTAAAAGTTAAGTTTAAGTCGCTAAAAATAAATGAAAAGAAAATTAAATTAAATTTCCTCTTGTGACACTGATTACAATTTCAACTGATTAAAACCAACTCTAAACTGTCTGTCAGAACGGACAAAGCTTTAGACTCATTAGGTAAAAATAGCTCTGCGTTTACTTGAAGGGGTTTCAGATGCTGCCCGTACCGTAGGCTGTGAGCGTGGGAAGGATGTCAACACATGAAACTACACCCGTCTGTTAAAGTAGTTGGCGCCTCATTAATTACAGAAAACTGTCTCCGTCAGGTCGGCGTGACGGAAGAGTTGTTGGAGCAAATTTGAATTTGGCAATCGCCTCAGTGTAACCAGCAGAGGTCAGAGCAGTTACTGCGTGGTGTGAAAGTCTTTTCTACGATTGACTGGTCGGACGGAGGACGCCGCGCTAATCTGACGCTAACATTCCAGAGTCATTTTTTTCCTTCTCTCTTTTTGTCAATTGATGTTTTTTGCCAAAGAAATCAGAACGTCGGGTTAATGTCGTGTTTTTTTTTTTTCTACGATTGACCTTTGTTTTTCTTTTTGGTGTTGGACTGAACTGGAGAGCCTGTGGTCAAGTGGTCAGCAGCTCTGGCCTGTTACCAGTTCAAATCCTGTTACTGGAGTGGTGTTTAACAGAGAACAAAATACAGGAACTTTAGTGATTTAGTGCTTGGTACAAAAAAGGTTAGGGGCCGCCGCCATAGACTATTTCGCACACGGTAGAAACCGAGGAAAATCGATCACATGGTCCGGTGAATCAAACGGTGAGACCATGGCTTCATATGATACCAGCTGTAAAGTCCATTCAAGTTCTTTCTTCTTCTAGAACCTTCTAAAAAAAAAAACCCCACCGTGGATGACTGCGACAGGCGTGCTGTCAGTCATGGAGTCCATTAAGCTCACAGTGAACTGCACTCATGCATCATTTACGTCTGATTCTCACTGCGTGTCACATTTGTTACGCCCCAAGAAAAAGAATCCCAAGTATCGCAAGGGGGGTGCGAGTAAAGACGAAACCCGTCACTGGTCTTTTCCTCAATTTCATAACCAACAACCAACGACAAACAAAACCCTCCTCAGAACCTTCCACCAACGACAAACAAAACCCTCCTCAGAACCTTCAGTTCCCTCAGGAACCAAATACCGTGATGACAGAACAACGATCACAGGTGAGGTTGTGCTAATCCTCGGCGTTTCTAAACCGATCGGCTTCGCTCTCAAACCAACGTTGTGACAGGATTTCCTCTTCCTCTGGGCTCCAACTATTGAACGAACGAGGAACCAAACAGACGCTGATGTTGCACTGGTTACAGCCCGTATTGTTTCCTCTCTGAGAGCACCTTGTTTTTGAAGCCCTTGTTGGACTGATCGGCACTTTGACGGAGGAAAAGCTTTAGAAGCTGAATGTGGATGAATATTTAATGTATTTGACTTGGGAGAACAATCGTACGGAATGAAAGAGAAACGCTAATGTGCAGCTAACTGTAAAGAGCAGAGAAACAAGACGAGGAAGAGGAGGAGGAGGAGGAGGAGGCAGCAGCTGAGGAGAATCCTCCAGGGTGACAGGAGGGAAACTAAAGTGGCTTCAGAAGAGTTCACTTGCTGTATGTTCAGAGTTTTGTTTTTTTCTGATGAACAGTCTTACTTTGGGGCTTCAGCGACAGGAACGGGATTTTTTTTTTCTTTCTTTCTCGCATTTGTAAACAGAGAGTTCTAATTTTAAAATAAAAAAACTGTGAATGTTACTCATTCAGTTGTTATGAACGACGGCTGCTCTTCAGATAAATGATGACATTTATTCTTTAAATGTAATTTCACAGCTGGAGGAGGAAAACAAACTGAAGGTTCAAACGTCTGAAAGGCTGAAATTAAAGATGAGAATTTATTTTCTTTGGATTACGTAAAGTAATAAGTTTCATATTTTTTTCTGTCTTAAAATAAAAAAATATAAAAAAAACCTTTATCAACGTACTTGAACATCGGAAATCGCAACAATCTTAGTCACTGAGTCACTGGTCTGTCGCAGGGCATTTCATGGAGGCAAACAAGGATTTAAACTTGCAACCTCAGCCAGTTAAGAATGTTAAGAATTTTTTAAAAATATTTTCCATTTCCTTACACACAAACCTGACCATAATCTGACCATAATCTGACCATAATCCTAATCCCAACTCTGAACTAAATCTTATATTTTACCTGGAAGGGACCGACA